CTGACAACGACAAAGAAGAGGCAGAACAAAGTGAAAATTGACTGCAGTAAATTTAACCTTTGTTTGCAGGACCCAGTACAAGTTCGTGAAGTGCCTGTACTCTGACAACGACATTGCAGAGGCAGAACAAAGTGAAAATTGACTGCAGTAAATTTAACCTGTGTTTGCAGGACCCAGTACAAGTTCGTGAAGTGACTGTACTCTGACAACGACATTGGAGAGGCAGAACAAAGTGAAAACTGACTGCAGTAAATTTTAAAAACTCGAATGTCGAGCCGATAGTAAACGTAGACACTGTACACTATGTGGTGGACAGTTACTTAACTCGTATCCATATGTCTTTTTCCTTTCTGCAGTAAATTAAGCCTGTGTTTGCAGGACCCTGTACAAGTTCGTGAAGTGACTGCACTCTGCCAACCCATGACAAAGAGCCAGAACAGAGTAAAGAATTGAAAGTACAGTACAGTACTCTAGGTCGCCGAAGAACTGTGGGGGTCAGTCTCCTAGCCTAGACCGTACCTATTATCATGTATTACAGTCTATGCGCAGTTGAGTCACTGTGTATCCTATAGGGCTGGAAGTTGGCACTGAGATCCCGAGTTCGAGTACTCTGATTTTCTCCGATCGAATATTCGAGTATTCGAGTAGTCTTCATCTCCTAAAAATTGCACACCAAGGGGCCTAAAATCACATGATACAACCCTGATCGAATCGAGTAGCAGTCATTTTTCTCGGGTATATTGGTTGGTTGGTCATTTGGGCTCTCTCTACTCGTGAACATATGTTCACCACACAGTCTGCACATCAATATCTGCTGACTGCTGCTCTGAAACTGAAGATTTCTTTGGTGAATGCATGTACCATCTATGAACGAGTACTCTGATTTATTCCCAGTACGATTATTTTTGGAAAAAACCGAGCGAGTATGCGGTATAATTGTTTCAGCCCTAGTATCCTATAATGCTGTGCTTGGTGAAATTCTAGCCTAACCGTTCTTCGGCGCTCCGTTCTTCGGCGCTCCGTTCTTCGGCGCTCCGTTCTTCGGCGCTCCGTTCTTCGGCGCTCGCGCTCCGTTCTTCGGCGCTCCGTTCTTCGGCGCTCCGCTCTTCGGCGCTCCGTTCTTCGGCGCCCGACAGTACTGTATCAAATGCGCACCCATAAACGGGGCCGTCCGCAATTATCGATCTTTTGCACGAAACGAAAAAGTTTCGTTCACGGGTGGGTGGGTTGAGGAGAGTTTCATTTTGAAAAATATTGATAGCATACACGATCCATTCTCGCTCTCAAGTCAATAATATACTTTACGTTCAGGGGTGGGTGGGTTGGGGAGGGTTGTAACTAAACGCTTTCATTCCCGCTAGCCTATACGCACATGCGAGCGAGAGCATCCCCTCATTTCTGATTGTGATGTATTCCAGCTGATGAACGTCACTTGTGCCTATGGTGAAGTAAAATAAAGCTAACAAATCCGACCCCCACTCACCTTCGCATGTGGTGTCGTTGCACGCATCCTCGTCGTACGACCTGCCCGGCAGCTTCGATCGCCGCGGATAGCGCCGATACTCGTCGTACTGCAGGTGAAACGGAAACTGGCCGTCACTAGACGACTTGCCGCCCAGAGTGTCCACCAGACACATGTATGGAGTACTGGGAGTGTTGGTGTCGGAGCTAGTGCTAGTGCCAATGCTGGCGCTGGCGGGACTTGCCTGCTTGTGCTTAAAGCGTTGACGGCGGCGGCAGTCGGGCACCTTAAGGCATTGTAGTAAGCGGTGCCGGCGACTCTGCCGTATCGACGCTAGTGGCTCACCGTCTACGTTGTCATGGCCACGATGATGATGGTCGTCTTGCAGTCCCAAGACTGGTATCGCCGATGGTCGCCAACCCTGCGATGTGATGGGCTTGTCAGGCGGGCAATGGCGCTGGTGGTCGTGATGTTCCGGCGGCGTTGGAGTTAATGGTGCCCGGTGCACGGGGCATGCGACGGGCTCGCCAGTTGGGCACGGATAATGATGTTTGGGTGTGAATGGCCGTGGTGGCTTGTGCTGATGGTCCCTAGGTGTTCGAGTGATGTTTGGTAGCAGCGCTCCTGCTGTGTTCTTGTCATCGTCCGAGCTGGGCACGCATTCGTGCGGCTCTGCCGTTGGTGCGAGGGTCGTGCGTGATAGGACACACGAGCTATCGTTTGCCTGCGTTAGGTGCTCGCCGACGCTGGGCACGGGCACGAGCACGATACGGCGAGTCGGCGGCTTATCACCCGCGCAAGACACAGTGATGCGGATGGAGTACGCCTGGGCCACCGCGTCGTCTTCCCCAGCTGTATCCGAGCACGACACGTCCGCGGTGGCGGCAGAGGCAATAGGCGTCACCGTCTTACCCCACGTCCACGCCGTGCCTTCATCCAACTTGATCTCCACATCCTGTGGTGGAGGCGGAGGTGTTTCAAGTTTCACCCGGGCGTCGGAGCCAGGAGAGCAGCCAGTATGTGTTTCTGCACGCGGAACTGCAGGAGGGGAAGAAAGAAACAGACGTGCACAAAAGACCTCTCTGACAAGCGCCGTATTTTCTGCAGTACTGGCTGCGAGCCCCAATTTTCTCCCAAAACCCACGCAAAAGCCCTGAAATGCTCCCAAAACCCACGCAAAAGCCCTGAAATGCAAATGCTCCCAAAACCCACGCAAAAGCCCTGAAATGATGTGGCACCTGTCTCAGGGATAGATAGTGGTTCTCGGTCTCACTAGCTTTTGCGATGAACAACTTCATTCTAAGAAACACGGACATCCTCCAAGCTTCGAACTGACTCTGTTGTGACTCGGAGGCGTGGGTTTGAATCCCATGGCTCCCACCACTGTTGTATTCTAGATAGAAATAACGTGTACGCACTCATACCACGACACCAGAGGAATAACTGAAGGCGTGTGAGAGCTAGGTCTCAGGTCGTTGAATGTCTCAGTAGCCTGTCAGTTTTGTGCCCTGTTATCACACTTTCTGACTGCATTATTATCTTGTTACAGTCGTGGATAGTTGTTTCATAACTCGTTTCCATGTGATTTCTTCTATTTTAATTGTGGAAGTATTTTAACCCCCTTTTGTACGGACAGTACAACTTTCGATCCGTATACAAAGGGTTAAAGCACACTCGTGGCAGGATAGCACGAGACGGAGGTCTCGGTCGTGGTAGCGGACGAGGAATTCCTGCTCCTGTTGGGAACGTACAACATGCAGAGTATTATAAAAGCAGAAATTTTCGGTGGTGTAATATTTTTGGTATTCTCCAAAATCGGTGGTTTGGTGGAGGGAAATTTTCAGTAAACCCGTTTTCCAGGTAAGTGTACTAGTACTATATCGAAATTTTCGGTGCGTTTCAATTTTCAGTACAAATTTAGGCACTGAAGTTACCGAAAATAAAACACCACCGAAAATGTCTGCTTTTAAAGTTCTCTACGCGGGACTGCGCAGATGAACACGAGGCACCAGCCATGGATTTCAACCCTGACCGTGCCCAAGGCATTCATCCGCCAGATAAGTTGCAGCCCGGCACATGCGAACTTGACTTCTTTCAGTTGTATTTCTCTTCAGGACATTCTGGAGAATAATTTTGAAGTTTACAAACGAGTATGTGTGGTGCAAAATCCTGGAAACGCCGTGCCATGCTAAGTCAGATGGCTCATGGGAAGAGATGACATGCGAGGAGCTGAAAAAGCTGATTGGATTCTTCATCTCGTATACAAGGCTAGTCTCTGTTTCCCGCTGCCAGCTTTACTGGACGACGTCAAGCTTATTCAATGGCATCTGGGGGGGGGGGGGGAGAGAGCTTTCTTCTCCCGTGATCGGTTCCGTTCACTACTCTGTTTTCTGCATGTCGACCACCTAGAAAATGATCCTGCGGACCGGCTGTACAAAGTTAGAATCCCGCATGGTGCTATCACCAAGGCCTGCAAACAACTGTACCAGCCTGGACAACATGTGTCCTTGGATGAGCGGATGATCCGCTTCAAGGGTCGTCATTGTGGTGAAAGTGTGCATCAAAAATAAGCCGAGAAAGTGGGGAATAAAAAGCTATGTGCAGTGTGACTCTGTTTCGAAGTCCATCTTCAACTTTGAAGTCCACTCTGGAGAGCAACCATCAGCTGGCCCTCAAGGTCTCACACACGATCTGGTCATGCGACTATTTGAACCCCTTGCCAAACAAGGGTATTGCCTCTATACGGATAACTACAATACAAGCCACGCGCTAGTGTAACAGGTGTATTCATGCTAAGCCCGTACAATACTCACTATTCGTATTTCCCGCTCCTTCACCATAGTAATGAGAGCAAAGCAAGTATAGAAGAGCGCATGCTCTAGTGGTGCTCTAGTTGTGTCTTCGTTCTTGTCTACTCTCCTGTCTAAATACTTCCGTCCATATAATTATTCAATACTACAAAACCCCTGTGTTCTGGAAGTGTGAGGGGACTGCGTTTGGCCGGGAGCTAACACTGGTGGCAGCGGAAAAGGTCCACGTATACATCGCTGGCGGAGTGTGTACGCCTTCGGATATCGTCTGCTAGGAAGAACTCGGCAACGGAGGCCCACGCAAGTGAACTAACTACCGTATCCTCATCCACTCGCTTCTACGTCACTGTGTGAGATCGCCAGCCACCTTGCTGGTACTGTGCGTGTGAACCGAACTGGTTTTCTCGCTCCCACTCAAGATCCACAAGGATCTTGAACGGCACGGTAGTCATGGAGGTGTACGATACGTTCGCAATGATGACATCATGCTGCACATTAAATGGCTCGACAAGCGTGTCATCAACCTCTTGTCCACAGTGTACAGTGCAACAGACAGAGCTGATGCCGCGACAACACTATGTTCGCGTGGATGGTCAGTGGACCCGGCAGCCAATCAAGCGACCAGCAGCCATTGCAGCATACAGCCAATACACGGGCGGAGTTGATATCTTTGACCAACTAGTATCATCAATGACTCATCATTCAGTTTGCTACGTCGGGCAAAGAAATCACGGCGCTGCATTTTCTTTGATTTGTGCCAGTGTGGTGTCTTAAATGCCTATTTGCTCATGGTTGAGCATTGTCACACCCATCCAGGTGCCATTGAGCGTCCTGCTGGATTTTCACCAAGCTTGATTTCCGAGCGAATCTTGTTCGCCAGTTGACAGCAATGGACGACACATCTCCGCTGATCGTGACCGCTGGCCTAAAGCGCAAGAGTACCACCTCTAGCACATCCCAAGACATCCACGACCGTTTGCCAGTTTCTGTTTCTAAAACTGAAAGCGGCAATTGCTACTACTGCTGGATTAACCGTCGCCATGACTACAAGAGCTATGTGCACTGCTCAACACGCAAGATGGTTCATCGCAACCCGTTCTTCCTTTATTGTCAGTTTTCAGGTACCGTATTTTCCCCATAAAAATGAATCAGTACATAACGGGTTGACGTCGGTTTCATGTGCCAATCATCAGAAATCTTCGACTAGTACACAGGAAATATCATATGGCCATATTAAGAGTGAAAAGCACTGGATCTAGAATCCATTGGATTATTATTTTTTTATCTACTTCCTCCGCGTCATTAAAAATTGTCGCTTCGCACATCGCAATAGTTGTGACTTGGCTCGTCTTAGTCAGACTGTCGGAATCGCTGTTTTCTGTGTTTGAACACTGGTGTGACCCTTCCTGCGCAATGTCTACTTGTCACTGAAGCTGTGGTGGTCTCGGACTTTGTCGGAGCTCTATTCCGCACCAAGCAAATTCATCGCGCTCCGCACTATTCCTCTCCGGCCCACATTTCGTTTTCTGGAGTTCGTGCCGTCCCACATCGTTCGCATGGGCATTTGTCAAGACTGCAAGCTCGGGTATAAGAATCCTGGTATCTCTCCTGAATACGAACTGCTGAAGTTGACGATGGCAAGAACAAAGTAGTCTCAAATTCCTAAAATGCGCTACTTGTGGCGCATGTTGCTGTGAAGGTAGCAGGTCCGAAAACACCAACAAAATCAGCGAAGCGCTTGCCAAGGAAAGAAGTTGCGGAACTGCTTACCCTATCCCGCTGGAAGGTCATTACAGTGTGCTTGAAAAATGTTAGCTTGCCTTCATCGCCTGGCACCTGGAGGCATGGATCGCTTGAAAACGAAGTTTCTTGACCTGAATTTGAACGCGCGTCTTGTTCAGCGTATTGTTGAGTGCTGAAGGGTCTGCCTGAAACTCTGGTGAAGACGTTGACCTTATCTGCAAGTGCGGCGAAGCGGGGGGTCACAAACTAAAGCTTGGTCCGTCGACAATGCTCTGCCTCAATGTCTAGCTGATTTCTTTGCCCTTCGAGTGGACAAAAATAATTTCGAAAAATCGCTCTGGGAAGCTACAATTTTAATGACGCGGAGGAAGTATAATAGGCTTCTTGTTTCCACGCCGACCACTGTCGTAACTCAAATTATTCCTTATTGCTCCCATACCCGTGCTACCTCCATATTTAGGCAATTGGAAAAAATACTCTATTTACAACAAGCCGACGGAAATGCACAACTGGACATGAAAAACTCAAGACGAAGACTGCTTTCCACACCACAGCAACATGTGCATGCACCAACGCCGCCACGTACACACGACGTACACAAATAACATACAACATTTCTTCATTTCCCATTCCACCTATGTATCGTTCGTCGTGATTATTTTTGCGACTTTTTTCAACGTGGGTATGACTTTGCTTTCTTTCGTTATGGATGACGTACGACTTGCATTTGTATACACACTCTTTCACGTGACCATTATGACTGCATGCTCGATTCCACCACATATAGACACAAACTACACTACTGCACTTAGCCATTGCAGCGATCCCCTTTCTTTCCTCTTTCTTCCACCCCTTGCCTTTTCTTCTGTTGCTGCTCTTGTTTCTTTCGCATCTCTCAACATGTCGTGAATATGCATCACGAATCCGCGTTACGCTCATTATGTCTTTATTTGTTTATGTGTTACATCATGTTGACGTCATGCTGATGTCTTGCTGCACGCATCGCGTGCACCGTTTTGCGGCTCTCCGCCCGGAGCATGCGCAGCGAGCCTGTCGCTCCTTTTTTGCTGCCTTTTCCCTTTTGCATGCTTCACTTGTCTCTACTTGTCTCAACTAACTAGAACTTGTCTCAAATAAGGTTTTCTGGTGACACTCCTTTTCAAGTCACCTAATCCTTTCAAGTAACAAGTGCAATGTCGTTCCGTGAACCGGAACCACTCCATATTTGAGTTACCAAGACGTATTTGTGCGTGGCTATACAAGCTCTCCCACTCAACAGTTCAAAGTTGCGCACAAACTTGGTGCCGAAACCCGGGAATGCCACCAAAAAAGGCTTCGAGTGCCGATGCTCCTAATCCGGCGTCAACTAAGCGGTATCGCGGCAAGATACTTCGGCTGCGGAAGAGCATCCAGCAATGCCTCGATGACGGCAACGCATTATTGTCTGGAGCTCCCTCATCTGCAACAGCAGAAAAGCTAAGTGAA